ATTTGGTTTAACCCGCCTTTTAGCAAAAACGTCAGCACGAATATAGGAAAAATATTTTTAACATTAATTGATAAGCACTTCCCTAAAAATCACAAGTTGCACAAAATTTTTAACAGAAACACATTAAAAGTAAGTTATAGCTGTATGCCTAATATGAAATCCGTTTTAAACGCCCACAATCGCCATGTTATAAACAACAAGAAAGAATCAGCTGAAAATAATTGCAATTGCATAGATAAAAACACCTGCCCTTTATCAAACCAATGCTTAACAAAAAATATAGTATATCAAGCTAATGTATGCTCAAACAATCTTGTTCAATCTCCCATCAATAAATTTTACATTGGCATAAGCGAAACATCTTTTAAAATTAGATATGCTAATCACATTAAATCTTTTAAAATTCCCAAATACAAAAATGACACTGAATTATCAAAGGAGGTTTGGAGATTAAAAGATGAAAACTTAAACCCGGTTGTTAGGTGGAAAATAATTAAACAGTGCGATGCCTATAACCCTGTAACAAAACGATGTAACTTATGCTTAAACGAAAAGTACGAAATTTTATTTTTCAAACACCCAAATTTGTTAAATAAAAAGAGTGAAATATTATCTAAGTGCCGGCATAAAAACAAATTTCTTCTTGCCCAATTTGACACTGGTGATTAGCAGTTTTACAACTATGCTTCTTTTTTATTCGTTTTTTTATTCGTTTTGTTTTGACGTCGGAACTCATTCTACTGCTTTTTTTGTATTTTGTATTTTTTAAACGGTTTTTCCTTGATTTGTATAATATATATGGCTGAAGATTGCCGATAGGCATGAAACTTTTAGTTCCATTATAAAGTTGTATTTTTCTATTTAATTACACTTTATTTATATATTTATATATATATATATATATATATATATATATATATATATATATATATATATATATATATATATATATATATATATATATATATATATATATATATATATATATATATATATATGTATGTATATATATATATATATATATATATATATATATATATATATATATATATATATATATATATATATATATATATTCTTTTTCTTTTAGAAATCAACTTATAGAAATTGTTCTCTGAAAAAGAAAATCTCTGCTAACTATTATGATTACTATAAAATTAAATTTTTTATTTTTGACTGGCAGTCAAAAATCGTGTTAATTATTAATTGGTAATATTTTTCATTTTAAACTGAAAGAAACTTTATGTGCAGTTAATAATTCAATGTGACTTACTATCTTTCTTCTAACTATATTTTTATTCGCGTCATATTTTAAATCAATAAACTTTTTGTTTTATATATTTTTTATTTCATTTATTTTATTATATATTACGTTGTTAAAACAAATTACAGATAAGATTTACATCGTAAATATCAATAAATAAAACATTTTAAAAACAGACGGTTACAAGGATCAATTAAAAATATAAAAGTAATAAAATAAAATAATATAAGATAAATTAAAGATATAATAAGAAAGCAAATTATTTTTACAATTACAAAGACATTCTGCAATAACTATATTGCAAATTTAGGTATTTAAAGATTTAGAAATAAATACAAACATATACAAAGATTTCATAATTAATACATTAAAAGTAATTACTAAGAATAATAAGTAAAATTTATTTAAATAAATTTACAATATTTTTTTGCAATTATTATTCCGCAAAATTAAAAACGTGTATTTTTGCTTGAAACCTTAATGAGTTTAATGATTTTACCATATTTGGATTAGTTTTTTGAAAAGAATTCCATAACTTAGGTTCTCGATATGCAATTGAATATTTTGTATATATAATTTCCTTTGCAGTTTGATTGATTTGTTTTTAAGAAATACTATTTATTTAAACTTTTCTCAAACTTAAAAATAAAATTAGGTAGAGTTAGGTTATTAATACAATTATACGTAAAAATTAAGTGCTGATAAAAATTTATTTCGTATACATTCATCATTTTCATATTTCTCATTAAGGGTTTAGTATATTCTCCTCTTTTTTTTTCCGTAAATAAATCTACACGCATGTTTTTGCAAATTAAGTATTTTTTTAAGTTTGGATGGTTGTGTACTACCCCATGTAATATTAGCATAGTTAATGAAACAAAGAATTAAGGAAAAGTATATTAACTTTAGACAAACTGTATTTACATATGGACGAACTCGGTATATCAGACCACTGTTTTGCTAACTTTTGATTGTAAATATTTAATATGGAGAAGCCAAGATAAATTATTGTCAACAAATATTCCAAAAAACATTGTATAGTCTTGCTTTTTTATTTGTACGTTATTTAAAAATAGATCTGGTAATTTAAGAGGAAGATTTTCTTTTTGCATTTTTCTTTGAAATAAGGTACACTTTATTTTTTCAACATTTAATGAGAGTTTATTTGCCTTAAACCAACCATTTATCTTATTTAGTTCAAAATTTATGTCTGCATAAAGTTGTTTGATACTAATGTTGGAAAGAGATAGGTTTGTATAATCTGCAAACATAATTCAGTTTAACTTTACTGATGCATTATTCAAGTCATTTACATAAACTAAGAATACGAGGACCAAGAATCGATCCTTGCGGTTCTCCACACGGGATTTTAAGTATTCTCTTTACTTGATTTAGAACATATTGTTTTCAATCAGTGAGGTAATTTTTAAATCAACTGTAGACCTTATTAGTTATTTCATTATGCTTCAACTTTTCTAAAAAAATAAAATGATCAACAATGTCAAAAGCATTTGAGAGATCGATAAATATACCTAAAGTAAATTTGTTTTCAAGAAGTACCCCTTGACCTAAAGAAAGTTTTACTATATAAAACAACGGTTTACAAATACTTTTTTTTTTATTTGCAATAAAAATATTACTGGTTATATCATCAAATCCCGGTGATTTATTCTTTATTAAAGAGGAAAAAGCCGTTTCAAATTCTTTTAATGTTAAGTGAAAATAATGCAACGTTGTGTCATCTGATGGTTTTAGATTAGTTTTTAAAAGAACTGTAGGTTGGTGACGAGGTTGGTGTAATTTTTTTAGCAAGATCAAGTCCAACATATGCAAAATATTTATTAAACTTTTCAGATATTTGTTTAGGGCAAAGTGTATTAGTATTTTAAATATTGATTCTTTTTGGTTGTAAGGAAGTTTTTTTTTTATACTATTATACCATTTATTAGAAGTTTTTCCCTATTAAATCTTTGATTAGCTAACTTACATTTATTAATTTGTTTGCTGTAATATATATTTTTTAGTGTTTTTTAAAGAAGATTTGTATTAAAGTATTTGTATGTTTTATAATTATTTTCATTAACTGTGTTTTTGTATTTTTAAGAAATTTATTGTATAATTTTTTTTTTGGTTTTAGAGTATTTTTTAAGTATTTTATCTATCCAAAAATTAGCAAATGTTTTTATTTTTATTACTTCGTTTGGACAAACTTCATTAAAAATCTGTTGAAATCAGTTTTAAAAAAAATAAAAAATATAGAAAAAAAATTTGCTAAAAACTATAATCTTTTTTGAACTAAAAAGTAAAAAATAAACTTTTTGATTAAAATTTAATAGTTCAGTAAACTAAAGATTGACAGGTATGTTTCTAAATAGACCTGTCAATCTTTAGTTTACTGAACTATTAAATTTTAATCAAAAAGTTTATTTTTTACTTTTTAGTTCAAAAAAGATTATAGTTTTTAGCAAATTTTTTTGCTATATTTTTTATTTTCTACTTTTTAGTCTTAACAAATTTTTCATATGAAATACAAAACTAAAAAAAATTATTAAAAAAATTAAAAAACTAAAATACAAACCTACAAGCAATCTTGCCGATCTAAAAAAAAATTTATTAGTAAAAAAAATTTTTTTTAAATAAATAAACCCGCAAGCAATTTAGTGACTAACTTTTACTAAAAAGAAAAGTTGCGAGTGGTTGAAGGGCGACAAAGCTACTTGAAAAAGAGTTCATATCAATTGAAAGAAAAGATTATAATAAATTACAAGCTTCATTTACATTTTGACGTTTATAAACGTCACTCCAATTTTCTTTATATAGTTGGTGATTGTTTGTATTAATAGTTAAAAGGTTACTTTTTTTAAGCTTAAAATTTTTGGCTGATTGTACTGAAATAACTGTTAAAATTTTTATGTTAATATATATAATGTTACTTGTATATTTTAACAGATAGTCATTTAAATTGAATTAATCAAATTTAATTACTTATTAATATTATTCACCTAATCAAACTTTCTGAAACTAATCTAACAAACTAATCAAAGTTAATTAATTATTAATATTAGTAAAATATATTTAACATTAATTACTTAAATAACGCATTTTATATAACGCATAAATCACCAGGCAGCACATCTGGTATCAAACACACATTTATACTTACTAGCAGTAAGCAACCCGTAATACGCGTTGTGAGTAAATAAAATTAAAAAAAAAAAAACGCGTATAGAAAAGCCTAGAAACTACTTTAAAATAGAAAAGCCTAGAAAATGACGTAACTCGACTAATAATAATATTAAATTAGCGTATTCATATTATCAGATTAATACTATTTTATGTCATGCACTGACAAAGTGATTTTGACTATATTACTTTAAAAATGAAATACGACGTAAAATGAGCGATAATACAATATCTGTACCTGAGTGCCAACTTACCTACCTTACCAACGTACCTACTTCTTGTTTTGTTTTTTATATATAAAGATATAGAAATACCAGGCGTTTAATGTAAATGCAAAAGTCATAACAAAACACACATTAAGACATTATAGTTTTAGAAAATAATTTTTTGTGCATTTTTGGATTATATTAATGTAGAACATACAAATATCAAATGCTAAATTTAGATGATTATGCATTTTTGCATAAAAACTTTTAATAATGTTGGAAACGCATGAATAACTTACTAATAGTGAGTATTGTCAAAGGTAAAAAAATTAACGTCACGTTTTTTTGTTAACAAATTAAGACTGCAAATTTAATAAACCTTTATTTACGTAATTAGTAAAAAATCTATAAAATTAAGTTTTCGAATCATTTATGTGAAACCTTAAGAAGAAATATATTCAGCTAAAATTGAAACTGATTGAAAGAATGAAAATTTACATATTTATGATGTTTACTTTGCATATGTCGCAGGGATTACCACCGATAACGCGTAAGTTAAAAGCCACTTTTTATTTCATTAAAAAGAATCTTTTAATTTTTTTTAGTATAAGTCTAAATGTTTTAAAGAATTCAATCGAACATAAAGACAATAAAAACAAACCAAAAAAAAAAGTTTCTCTTAAAATTTCTTTAAACTTCTTTCTTTTAAAATCTAAAGAATACCTTTTTATCGGATAAGATTTTTAGGGAAAAAGATTTATGTGTGTTAATTAAATATCAAAAATATATTAGAGTATATGTATCTTACATTGACATTTATGTTTCAATGCATTTTGACATACTTTAATATGATGGAATTTCATTTTTTTTTATTTTAGCGTGTTTTCCAGTTAACTGTTTGGTTAACCCATGTAATAATTATAATTGTTCTATTGGTTCACAATGCGTTCCAAACTACTGTAACGGTTGCAACGCTGTGTGCAAACGTAAGTTCTTTTATTAAAAAAAGTTTTCCCAAAAAATAACAATTTTAATAATCATATCTTTTTTTTTAGCTTGCGTAATAAGTTACTGCAAAGTTAACCCCTGCTCAAATTATCGTTGTCCTGTTGGATACCAATGCGTCCCAAATTACTGTAACGGTTGCTTCGCTGAGTGCAAAAGTATGAACTATAGTATATATATATATATATATATATATATATATATATATATATATATATATATATATATATATATATATATATATATATATATATATATATATATATATATATATATATATATATATATATATATATATATATATATATATATATAATAGTAATAATTTAAAATGCTTAAGTTTATTTTAGAATGTCCAATCACTATCTGTAAACCCTGTACATTATTCTGCCCTAAAGGTAGTAAATGTATTGTAAGAAATGATTGTGGAAAATGCACGTATTCGTGTTCCAAGCCAATTATTCCAATCTGTAAGCCTGATTTATTTTATATTTGTACTTACTTTGTTTCATTTGTTTACTGGGGCGTTTTTTATAAAGAGGCGTAAATATTATTCTCACCTGCAAGATCTTCATTAAAATACTTTTTACCTTTTGTTTTCCAATTACTTAGCAAATTACAAATTATTTAGCCCTCTTGAAGTTACGTTGATGAAAAATAAAAAAAGGGACAATATATAGGGGAAAGCGGGGCAACATGGCGAATGGGGCAACATGGGTTTTCTAATAACAACTCAACAAAAAATCTTAAATTTGGGTGAAAACTAAACTTTATTTGCATCTTATATTTTAAAACACCAATAGGATTTTTTTAAATATTATTAACGCAATTTTATACGCACAAGTTTACTTTTTGCGTTTTAAAAAAAATTCCTCACTTTCGGTTTCTTATAATGGATGGTGTCCTTCAAGTTTAACTTTTTTAGAAGTAGTTTTTTGAAACTTTTGCTTATTTTGTGTTACTTTAGTTAGAGTTTCTGGTAGTTTTTAAAATGTTATAAAATTGGAGGCAGAAATTGCATAACAAGTCATCTTGCCCCACTCACGTGACCAGACGACAAATTCATGAAGTTTTTATTTTAATATTTATTTTAAATTGTTATATTTGTATACTGAAAATTCAAGTAGGCAATGAATCGTTTTAATAAAATAAACATATCGAGAAAGTATTATTGCTTCACGACTGATAGTTTTGAAATAACTCAGGTCTTTCATAACGTTCGCCATGTTGCCGCGTTTTCCTCTTTATATATATATATATATATATATATATATATATATATATATATATATATATATATATATATATATATATATATATATATATATATATATATATATATATATATATATATATATATATATATATATAACATATACATTATATATGTGTGTGCGTATTTGTATTATTTTATATTATCATTTTTTACCATATTTGTTTAGATGAAAGAAGGAAATAAAGAAAATAATTCCTCCAAAACAGAAGTTTTTTCTTAATAAACATTTAAAAGTTGTATCAAAAGATAAATATTGAAATACATATTTAATTGAAATTGTATCCTCCAAATGAAGTTATTCTTATGTCGTTTACCTAAAATTGAATTATTTAAGTTTCTAGAAAGAGTGAATGTTAAACTTTACAAAATAACAACCATAGGATTGATTATCATTCTGATTACTATTGCTAGCCATTGAGCTAAATAATTAATCATACATTTAATAGACTCTTATAGTCCTAATTAACTAAAAATGGATTAGTTTAGTTTACCTTAACTAAACACATTCTATTGTAAACAACCCTTTTTTTTCTAGGTTTTTAACCCAAACCTTTTATTTTTTAAGCTTCAAATATAACAACCAGGGGTGTGGAGCCGTAAAAAAAAAGTAACGATTCCGACTCCAGTTGATGAAATTTTTTGAGTACAACTCCGATTCCAACTCCCACTCTAATTCTAACTCCTACTCCGACTGCAAAATTTTTGAAAAATTCTTTGAACTCTTTAAAAAAAATTACGCGATAAGTGATAAAAATTTTTTTTGACAAATTTATGAAACGTTCTTTGAGGTTTAGAATGAACATAAGGTTAGTTGAATGTTTTGTACATGCACGTGCAATACCAAGAAGTTTTACTATTGAAGTCGGAGTCGCGATTTTGTTTAACGACTCCACTAAAATTGTCGCAACTCCGCAACTCCGACTCTGACTCCGTCTCCACAGCCCTAATGAAAAACATTTGTATAATTAAAAAAAATACAGTTAACGCTCTATATAAGCAACTCATTTGAACCAATTTCAATAAAAAAAAGTTTTTTATTGGTAAAAGTTGTTTATAAGCAAAAAAGGAATATAAAAATACTTAACGTCTGGAAAATATTTTTATTCCTTTCTTTTACAAACTAATAAATTCAGTTTTTTTTTTTAAAAAAGAAAACACTTTATTATTATTATCATATAAACCTAGTTATTAATTATATATATATTTTATAATTAAATAATCAAATTTTAATAAATCTGTCGTTTAGTACAGCACTAATTGGCAAAACAAACAAAAGCAATTACATATATTTGTTCATGATAGGTTTTTCTCTTGTTATGAGTAATAAAACACCTCATTGCAGGGTAAATCATTTTTTTTGCCCATTATATCACTAAATTAAATAATTTATAACATCATTTAAATTTTTATTGGAGTCATCTGACGTTTTCATTTTTTTCAATGAAAAAAAGTTTCACTTTCTACCTCATAATTTTCTTCTTGATTAAATGAATGATTAGCCTTGCTTGTTCCACCTGCCCACTTCATAATTTTAGTATTTGCTAAATTACAATCATTAAATGTCGAATTATACGATCTCGTCAAAATAATATCATCTTCTTTTGAAAAGTGATTAGTGGGAATGTTGTATTGAATTTCATTTCTTGACAAAAAAAGATGCTTAAATGAATTTTTTATAACTGATACAGGAATTTTATTCCATGCCTGCACCACTAAATAAACAACATCTTTCAAATTTATATTTTTTAGTCCTGAAACTATTCCATCTTCTGCACCTAAGGCTGCAAGCAATGCAAATAGATATTTGCGATAGTTTTAGTGATTTTATCACATTTTGATCTAATGGTTGCAATAATGATGTGATATAGGGTGGAAGGGCATAAATTTGAAATTCGGGTTACCAGTAAAATTATTGCGAGACCCAAGGAAAGTTGTATTATTTACTAAGAGAATGGCTTTTAAAAAAAATGTTTTTAGATTCAAAGTGTGAAGTTATTAAAGGTATGAATATATTTGCGCACAGTATACTAAAATTGAAAAGTTAAAAAATATTAGACCAAAAAACTTTTGGAATGATTTTAGATGTTTAAACAAAGACATAAATTCTAGATTATTTACCATAAATAATAAAAAAGACAAAGAATCCATTACTTTAGAATTTGCAAACCACTTCGAAAAAGTACTAAATACTTCAAAAATAATACATCGCAATGAAAATCATCGGAGAGTTCCCCTGTGTACAAAACACGATGATGTTACAATAACTGAAGAAAATATAATTAGGGCTATTTCAAACCTAAAATCTAAAAAATCTCCTAACTCTTTCGGTATCTCAGCAGAACATTTGAAATACGCAAATTGTGATACTTTAGCAAAATGGCTCATCAAATTTTTTAATTATTCCATTAATTATGGGTGGACACCATTATCAATGTCAAAGTCTATTATTATACCCCTTGTTAAATCGTATAAAAAATCTTTAGATAGCCCGAGCAATTATCACGGTATTAGCATTATACCAATTTTTACAAAGATTCTAGAATACCTAATTCTTATTCTATGTCCCGATATTAAAGATACTCACCTTCTACAATTTGGATTCAATGCTAACTGTTCAACGCTACATGCTGAATTTCTAATTAGCGAAACAATTAAACATTACAATAGCAACAACTCACCTGTATACCTATGCTCTTTAGGTTTAGAGAAAGCTTTTGATAGCTGCAACTGGGATATCCTATTTGATAAATTATATTTGGATAAAGAATTACCACTCTGTATAGTTAACACTATCTCTTCGTTATATAACAATAGTAGTGCAACAGTCTCATATCAAGGTTTTAAATCAAACTCCTTTCTTCTAAAGCAAGGAGTAAGGCAAGGATCGATTCTTTCACCTCACCTATATAATATTTACACTGAAAGTCTTCTTGAAACTATTACAAATCAAGGTATTGTTGGCACATCTATATATGGTAACTTCACTGGTGTGGTGGCATATGCGGATGATATCATACTTTTAAGCTCTACCCTCTCTTGTCTTAAAAAGCTGATAAAAACATACAATATTTACAGTAATTTAAATTGTATTAAAATAAATGCCGAAAAAACTGAATTCTTGATTTCAGGGAAAGCACAAATACAAACCAATACGATAACGATTTCTAGTAATAAAATAAATCTTCAGAATAAACTTAGACATCTGGGATTCACATGGGATAATAAACATTCAACTTTTGCTTCACTCAATAATGCAAATGTTGATGAAAAAATTTCAAACTTTAGGGCTATAGTTCAAACTCTTATTCAATCTGGAATCCGGTTTGCCCACCCAAGTTCTATTTCCTATATATATAAATTATTGGCCGTCCCTACCTTAACTTATGGTATGGAAATATGTGAAAATAATTCTGCTTTGATGAAAAAGCTAGATGTAATTGGAAGGAGTGCACTAAAATCGCTTTTAAATATTTCCAAACACAGTAAGAACTATATAAATTTGCTATTTAAAATCCTGGAGATTTCAGAAAGTATTCACCGAAATAAATTAAACTTGTTTCTTCGTCTGCTTAATAATAAAACAACTTCAGACATTATCTTTTCACAACTGAAACACCCCTTATTTAAACATTCGTTTGTTGGCGATATCCAGGACCTATGCCGTTTTCGGATGCTAAATTTTCAAAACTTAATTCAAAATAAAAAGAAGATAAAAATAGCACTTTCTAAAAGTGAAATTCCCTCCGAAATTGAACAAACTTTGAAATATGCAATAGAGTGCTGGAATGTGAAAGAACAAAGAGGAATTTTTAAACAAACTCTGGAAGAAAAAATTCTCAAGTGAAAATCACGAGAAATAACTTTCTTATTTTTCTTTTTTACCTTGTAACTTACATTGGGTGTTAAATAAATGAAATAATAATAATATCATTATACCAGTCGCTAAAAAGTGTATAAGTTAGCCAAGCATTTTTGGATAATTTTTAATATACAGGCAAACTTTTATTTTTAAAGCAACCAGGAGATTTCCATTTTTTTATCATCATCAAATTCAATTTATGCGTACCTGTAGCGTTTACGCATTGCATAATCGTTACTCTTTCCTTCATTGCTTTTCTTCCAGCAGCGGTTTTTTCAAAAAAGAATGTTGCTTATAGAGAGGATGCTTATATAGAGCGTTCACTGTAATATCTGCACCTTGAACGTTAAACTATCAAAATTAGTTTATATTTTTATTTGGTAAAATGTTATCTCATTTATTGGTTGTTAAATACTCTTTAAATATTGTTTGAATATTCTCGATATTTTACTCAAAATAATAACTCTGAATATATTGTATTCTACGTCATCTTGTTGCAGTTTTTTTATTACTATTATAGTAATAATATTACTAATATCACACATTACAAATCAGTACATATATGAAAACATATACGAGTACATATACGAATACATATACTAACCAATACATATACAATGCGTAATATATATTACTATATTTAAATATTTAAAAGAGATGTAGAATTTATGAATATTCAAAACATTTTGAAGATTTAAATTTATATACAAAATTAAACAGATAAACAAAAACAACAAGAAAGATATATCATAAAAAAAAATTATTTTTTTAAAAAAGATGAAAGAGTGTATGTATTGTTTAAATTTAGTAAGTGTTTATTTTATTGTTCTTTTAAATATATCTTTTTTTATAGTTTTTTTAATATATCTTGTTTTATAGTTCTTTTATATATATAAATATGTATTTTATTTTTTTCATATTTTCATCAAGAACCGAGTGCCACAAGCGTGGTCCCTGGCATGTATTTTAGAAGTCTGGTTTTTTTTTATTGATGTTAGTGGAATGTTGTCATTACATATTAAGTGTCTTGTTTCATATTTAAGGTTAATGAGAAAACTTTTTAACAAAATATCTTAAAATTATTTTATTTTGAAGTTTAAACATAAATAACAACAAGTCGAGGTAGGTATTTAGTTCGTATTCATTTAGAGCATTTGTTTCCTTGAGAAACGACTCAGTATTTTCGTACTTACCTGCGCCCTTCAATTTAAATCATTAGATAATTTAAATCAATTTAATTTACATAGTAAAAAAAGTCTACAAAAAAATTGTTCAATAAACCATCATGTTACCTCTTCTATACGCAATTTTTAAGTCTTGCTTAATTTAACATCAAATC